TTGCTGACATACTTTGGAACTGAGTTCCTTACAAAGGAAAGGTTTGCTGGAAAGCGCTGGAAAGCTTTTTTCACACTTCCGCGACCCGCTGAATGACCTTAAGCACCCAATTTGCCTCTCCACGCGCCGATCAGCTGGCGAGCCCTCTCGTGCCGCGTCGTTGGCGCTCACGGCGCGCCGCCGACGATCGCGGCGCGCGCATCGATCACACCGGCGGCTCCGTTCGCACGCGGCCGGGGCGGCGGCGGCGGCAGCGGCGGCGCGGGCCCAGCCGCCGCCATCTGGCCCCTGATGGATCAGTTCCTGGACGGCCGGCCAGGTGGGCGGCGGCCGTTGCAGCAGACGTCCGGGAAAACGGTACACCGAGCCACGGAGCGGGAGGTGATGATATCAGCGGCCCTCGCTCAGTCCGCCGGCTCGAGCAGCACTTTACTCTGTGGCTCCAAGCTGAGTGGGTACGGCTGAGGGTGGGGGCGGGGGAGGTGGAAGGGGGGACAGGGACATGATGCCACCCAGGGCACCGAGACTCATCTGTCCAGTCATTTCAACTCCCTCATCAAGCGGCGCTGCACACGGTGCATTTTCTCGACCCGACTCCCGGTGGAACGAGCGCCGTTTCTGATTGGGCCTCGGCACGGTTATGACCTGCGCTAGATTGCCCCCACCCCCCTAAAACGGTATCACTTCGTGACGCCGGTGGTGGGCGCATTTGCAGTAACGCTTTCGGGGCTGGTCGGAGACGTGCTTCGCCGAACGCTTGCCACCTGGCGCTGCCTTTCTCACGGGGTCTCCGCCCGAAACCCTGATGGGAAACGCGGCGATGTCACGCTCCGGGCTGACGGCCGTCATGGTCACCGTGCTCAACAGCTTATCTTTGTTCAATATTTTCCTGGGTAATCTGCGCTTCAGATGCCTATGCAGTCTTTTTTGTTTTATATATTTATGCATTCATTTCGTGGTTAATCTGCGCTGGAAATGCATTGGCAGTCTTTTTTAGATGCATGCGGAAAACGCTTAGTGATAATTACATACGCTGTGATTGAAAAAAACAGGCAGTGTTGGACTGTAAAATGCACGGTATGATATTTAAACCACGCCACTGGACATGCCCTCAAATGAAATGAGCTCCACTCTGCTGAGCGGGGAGCTTAACACAGTACCTCATTGGTCTTGGTGTATGCCAAAATAACTGTTGTTCCTGTTGTTCTTGTATTCATGATGGCATTACTGACAAAAATAAGCCTGAGGAATCATACCAGGACAAGCCGCGTCTGCAGCACCGATTCCTGAGGCGGGGCGGCCGTTGACACCACGGCCTGTGAGGCGCTCTCCATGTTTTAGGAGCAGGAGCTGATGTTGCGTTTGATAGTGAACTTTCGCCTCTTAAAAACAGCGGTGTTTTAGAGGCATATGTGTGCACGAATCACTTATCAACATTTCTAGAATGTTAACGAAATGGTCGAAATCCGATGATGAGACGAGAAGAAGGGTTTTGGTTACGGATTAGCTGAGTTTCGGCGTTCGAAACTTCATCAGAGCTCTCACAGATGTGGGTGCCGCTGGTGAAGCCACACAACGCAAGCATTACTAAAGTAGAAATGGACAACCAGTGGCGGAACTGGAACTACACTTGGAATCCAACAAGGCTTGGAGTCGGTGCGGGCTTTGCAAAATCTTTTGGGAAAAGGGCTCAGCCCTTGGTCAATCAATTTGGGGTAAGCCCAAGTGCTGACTTTTCCCGGATTCAGGCTACATCGTGTCGCCATTTTGAGCAAGGCGAGGAACTTTTTCCATGCTTTTTGCGTGATCATTTAAGAGCTACCTGGGAGAATGGAGACCGAAATAGAGACAAAATAAATGCATATTATCTTGATTTCTCCATATAGTTTCCATTGCTGCTTCCCTCGAAACTTTCATGACGTTGTGCTTTACAATGCGAAAGCCCGTTTCAATTTAGGAGAGTCCACCTGTAAATCTGGGGGGGGGGGAGGGGGATTAACTACCAGTTGCAGGCACTACCCCCCCCCCTTCCCCCCTACTGAATACGACCCTCGCCACTGGAACTGACCTAAGAAATCTGTCTTTCTCCCGCCTTCGATCACCAAGGTGTTTTCGACCAGTAGGTTAACCCTGCCAAGCAGGTACAAAAGTCCTCTTAACATTCGTCATGCTGAACATGCTCGTCGAAAAGACGACAGCATGCGTCCTTGGCTGAATGCTGAGGTTGAACTTTAAACGTATAGACCGGTCCCGCAGCTCACACCAATTTTCCTTGGCTGAAGGCTGAAGCTGGATTTTGGTCCTCCAAATGGTGCGTTTGATCCCGTCAGCACCAGCAATGAAGCATGACGCGATGCAGGCCCCGCTGTTAGCAGCAGCCGTTGGACGGCTCGGCCTGCCGCGTCTGTCGGGCGGCCGGTGCCAGCGCCGTCTGGGGCCGGCCACGCCGCTGGTCCGGGGCTGGGTCGTGACCCTGGCAGTTCGTCACCGGGCGCACTTGTCGACGACCCGGCCACTTGTCCCACCGACCTGCACGTGTTGGCCGCACCAAAAAACGCTTGCCTCCACACTCGCCTACTGATCAACTGGGAAGCCGTCCAATCTGCTGAGCGACAGCAGCTATGCCCCACTGTCTTCAGACAGAGATGACCGCCAGAGATGGGACAGAGATGGCCGCCGACAGCGAGCATTTCTGTGTATTTCTAAATAGTCCACTTTGGTACGCATTCGAACGCATTTGGTACGCATTCGGAATGGGTGAGTGGCCTCGGCAGCTGTTCGATTTTTCATGCTCTTGTTTGTGTGAATATTTTCGACAGCCCCGGCGCGGCCGCCAAGCCAGGGGCGGTGAGCGTGGTCGGGCGTTTGTAGCCGGCCAAAGCCCGGAAGCATCGGCTCAGCTGCCGACGCTGTGACACAAACCGGTCGACCCTTAGGGCCTAGTGGCAGGTCCGCATGCGACACGGGCCTAACAGGGTCTGGTGGCAGTTCCGCATGCGACGCGGGCCTAACAGGGCCTATTGGCAGGTCGGCGCAGTGACCCATGATCCCATGGCCGGCGGGGCTGCCCGTGCGACACAGGCCGTGGGCCGTATGTGCGCTTTATCACCTTCAGTTTCACGATGCGGCTTTACTGTTCAACTCAATGGCCCATCGGAATTCCCTCTGTGCAGTGGATTTAAGTCATCCTCGTGAGAAAGTGCTTTGTGAAATTCGTGCTTGAGGTTTGGTCAAGCAGCATTATGCCGCTAATGCCCGACAAACTGGCGGGTGACTAACCGGCGTTTAAGTGCCGGCCTTCTCGTTACTATTCATTCAAGCACCAGCGCGTGGTTTGGGTCCATAAAACCTCCAGCAATTCATCACACCGTCTTCCTGACACCCTCTGGTGCTATTCCAGAAGGAGCGATTGGTTTCGCCGCCGCTCCGCCACGCAGCACGCAACTTTCTCAGCTTTTCGCCTGTAACCAGCCTGCAGCTGACCCCGGCGCCGCTGAGAGCGACCAGGACGCCCTCCGGACCGATGTAACCAGCCTGCAGCTGATCCCGGCGCTGCTGAGAGCGATCAGGACGCCCTCCGGACCGATGTAACCAGCCTGCAGCTGACCCCGGCGCTGCTGAGAGCGAACAGGACAACCTCCGGACCGATGTAACCAGCCTGCAGGTGACCCCGGCGCCGCTGAGAGCGACCAGGACAACCTCGGACCGATGTCCGCCAGCCGTCCGCCAGCGCGCGGCGGAGCCGGGGTGCACAGTCGGAGCCGGGGGTGTGCAGCCGGAGCCGGGGGTGTGCAGCCGGAGCCGGGGGTGTGCAGCCGGAGCGGGGAGTGCGCAGTCCTCACAACCCGGCCCATCCCTCGCGGCCCTTCAGCTGGGCGCAGCGCGCACATGCTGGCGAGCTGCACCAGCGTGTCTGACGCTCCGTGGGCGCCGGGGTGCGGCGGCCCAGAGCCCATAACGCCCGCCGCCGCCGCTGCACCGGCACCGTAAACGGCTGCCACCCGCCGAGCCAATTAAGCAGCCATGCCTTTAATGCACCATCACAAACCATTACAGTTCGCCGGCAGAAACAGTGCTATTCATCGCGCTAATCATATAATCGCCGAACACGGCACCTGCCCGGCCGACCGATCCGACAAAACAGTCTCCAATCATCCAATTTCGGCGTGCGAAACATGACTGACCACTTATCCTATCAACACTCAGTCGCTTAAAATCGCTACAAGCCACGCCGGTAGCCACTCCGGTCAGTGGGCCAAAAAAGCGCAGCAGCACGCAGCTTGTACGCACGCGCGCGCGCGCGCGCCTCGGCGGCGCCGGCGCGCGCAAACCGCGGCCCCGGGCGCGCCGCACGCAGCGCGGCACGCCGGCGTGCAATCGATGGCGTGCCGTGCGCCGTGCACTTGTGGCGCCGGCCGGTTGCGTGCGGCCGCCGCCTGTTTGGATGCCTGCGGTCTGCGCCGGGAGCGCGGTGCCGACGCCGGCTGGCGGCGCTGGCGAGCCACCCGGAGCCCGTCCACGGCTGGGGCTGCTGCTGGCGCTGGTGCTAGGGCTGGTGCTGGGGCTGGTGCCAGGGCCGGCGGGAGCTGGGAGGACTGCGCGGAGAAGGGGGCGGAGGCTTCGAGGCTGTCCCCCGCTGGCACCGGGCCATTGAGGAACACTGATGAATTCAACCTGGCATTTGGGGACAAAGCTGCATCCTTTCATCTCCAAAAACTAGCATCATGTCTTTGGCATTGCATTTAAAAAATAGACTAAAAACGGTCTTGGTACTCTTAATAGTTTTTGGAAAGCTTCATTTCTGCTTAGAAGTCAGCTGCAACTGAATGGTTGAAGCTGGGGACTGATTTTGAGATGAAGCTGGGAAGACGGAGAGCCATCGAGAGCTGGGGCTGAAGAGCTGAGCTGCTCCGGTATGCGCGGTACCATTTCGCAGTCGGTCGCTGTGGGACGGAGGGCGCGGGATGGACACTGATACCCCATAGTCCGCTCTGCGGAGCATGCTTGGCGTGGACGGCTTGGTAGCCAAAACAGTGGCCGCAGGTGTTTGCAAAGCGGCCTGCCCGGCGGCTAATTATTATTTGTACATCGGGAGCGGCATCCCGAGGTTGATGGAGTATTATTTACATGGTAGGCACCTGCGGATGGAGCGGTTATAATTTTTATTTCGCCGGGCGCTGTCAATCATGCGGTGATGCATGGTGTCGGTGTTTTTGTGCAGCCCTGCCCGCCCACCTCGCCGTCGTGGCGCGCTGGGCGGAGCCAGCCGAAGGAAGGCGGGGCCTGGCCCCAGCGCCGCTCCCATCACAGCGGCCGGCGGGCGTCGGCCAATGGGCGCACGGCGTCCGGCCGCGAGGGCGGAGCCTGCGCCGGCGGCCGCCAGCCGGCGCCCGGCCGCCGGCCGTCGCCCACCAGTTGCGAATTGGCCTTGCCCGTGAGAGAGTGTGCGCGTGTTTTATTCAGTTCGTCGCCCGACCAGCAACCACGCTGAATTTCGGTGACTTAGGGAGCCCGTACTCGGGTATGTCGGGCACCCCAGAATCGCACGAGGAGCTCAAGCAGCCCTCGTTCATGGAGCTGCCGCAGCAGGGCATCCCTGGGATGCACCCGGCGGCGTACGGGCGGCCACTCGGCTACCCTGGCCAGCAGCACGTCTCCCAGTACGACCCGACGCACGCCAACCGGACGCTCAGCTACCACTTCCCGACAATGCACGGGCCGCTGCAGAACTCCTACTCGGGCTACCCGTCGCTGGGCGCGTACCACACGCCCACGTGCCCCTCTCCGCCCATCAGGGAAGACGGTAAGCGCGCCGGCCGGCCGGCCGATCACGGCACAATCTCGCCGCGCGTGTTGTCGGTGTCGCGCGCGGCCCGCCCCGACCGCGTACTCGTAATGGACGGATGGCTGGCGCTGGGCGGCCGCTTTGGCGGCTGTCCGCCCGCGCCCGCGTGTCGCGGGGCCCCGCTGGGCGCTCCTCATGGGATGACCCCCCAGACGCGGACGCGGTCAGGTCCACGGGCCATTACCGGCGCCAGTGGCGTGGGAAGGCGCGGGAGGCGGTGCGACAATCGCCGACGTCGCCGCAGCCGTCCGCCGCCGAGCGCCGCAGTCCGCGCGAGCCGTGTACCTGTTGCTGCCGCCTCCCGGCCGCCCGCAACGCCTTTGTTTTCCCCCTCGATCCGCCGGCGGCGGCGCGGCAGCCAACAAAACAAACGGTCCGACCGTAACAGTGCGCGTCGGGCGGCGGCCCGGGTCCGGCCGACTTTCCCGAGTGGGCGCGGGTCCCGCGTCGGGTGTCTCGCCGGGGCCCGGGTCCCACGCGGCGGGCGCGGCGCGGCCGGCTCAGCACCGCCGCCGCCGCCCGGTCTGCCGATTTATCGCCGCCCTGGGCCGGCAGACCCGACGACGGCCGCGGCCGGCGAAATTGATGGCCCGGCGGCGGGGCCGGGCCGGCCGGACCGCGGCCGCGCGGCGACACGCCGCCGGAATGACCGCGCCACCTGTCGCGCGCGCCGATCTTATCGGCGCGGCTATCTATTAGTCGGGCCGCATTCCCACAGCGTGTCGGCGCTGAGCGGCCGCGCCGCCGTCCCAGGGTCTCCGCAGCTTCACACAGGCGGCCGCCCAGCCACAGCTTGGGGCAGGCCGTCCGGCCGCCGCGCCCGCTGCGGGCTTCGCGCGGCTCAGTGTCTCGCGGTCCGCGCGCCGTCCCAGGTTCGGGGCTCACGACTGTCACAAGTTTTGTGGGTACGCGCCGTTCCTTGTTTCGCGGGGCCAGGCTGTCGCATGTGGCCGGGAGGGCGTGCGCCGCCGTCCCGGCCGAGGTGGCGGCTCTCCCGGCCCGGGCCGCCCGCCGCGCCGCCCCGCTGCGGGCCTGGCGTCACGGACCGCGGGGGTCTGGTGGGAGGGCTGCCATCCTCCCGCGTGCTGAGCCTTCCTCGTGAAGCGCCACTCTCGCTGATGCAGAACTCTCGGCTACGTTTGGGCGGTGAGGCTGAGGATGGCGGTACTGCGCGCGCGCAGTGACTACCCGTCTCGGCCCACGGATCCCAAGCCGGGTTATGTGCGTGACATCGCCGCTGCCGTCGCATCGACTCACACCCAGTGACAACGACAACCCTCATAGTGGCTCGTACCAGAGCATGCCGAAGCGCCGCTGGCCGCGGCGAGCGTCGCCGGCAGTGCCGTCTCTGACGCTGCCTCCCCGCGGCTCCCCAGGCGCGGCAGCCGCTCCCGCCCGGCTCCCGCGGCCGCTCCCGGCGCCGGCTCGGACCCGTTCGGTTCAGGAGGGAGGGAGGAGGGAGGGCCGCCGCGCGCCCTGTCAAGCCCCCAGACGCCTTGCCGGCCCCTCACGCCCACCAGAAATTACTCTGACGCCGGCGCACTGCCGAGAGTAATTGTCTAATGAGGTGAACGGCTTGTGTCGGATTGGATGCGGGCCCGGCCGGTCGACCCACCTCCCTTTTACGGCCGGCTCATCTAGGTGGGCCCGGACGAGCACGCCGGTCACCGGTCGCCGGCGGGCCGGGCGTTTATTGTGCCGGCTGCGCGGGCCGGTGTGACCGAGTGGAACTTACTCGGTGGCTACATTGCCAGCAAAATGCTGTTTTCTGAGCAAACAAAATAAGAAACCCATCTTTCTCTGTGCACTCACGTGCTACCAAACACGTCCACGCATCCCGGACCTGCGCCGGTCACTCCGCTCCGTCGACTGACTGTCGTGCTGCGACTGCACTGTAGTCAGCCGTGGCGCTCCATGTCGCGCCTATGTCAGCTGCCACGTCGGCCCCACGTGCGGCGTGTGAGGCCGGCGGGCGAGGACCCGACGCCGCCCGACCAGCCTGGAGCCGACATTGCCGTGTCGGCCGGCCGTGGCCGTGGGGCCCGAGCCGCCGACGCTAACTGCTGCGCGGCGGCGGCGCCGGCGCCCGTTCGCCGAACCGGGCTCGGTGCGGGCCGCGGGTTCCGAGTGGTGCTGTGGGACTGCCCCTGGGACCGGCTGGGACCTCCCAGGGAGGCCTCAGCGGCGGCGGTGGCTGGCAGTTCGGGCGGGCCGGGCCGCCTGGCGCTGTGACTTTGCTGCGTTTCCGCCGCGCTGGACGGCGTTGTGTTTTGTTGTTCCATGTTTTGCTAGTTGCTCATTTACCTTTGTTATCTTCATCTCATTTGCAGTCAGACAATGGAAATGACATCTATGCCCAGATCAGTACTCGTTTGAGGTGCACATATTCCGATGTGTACCTACAAGCTTAGTGACGTGCTCGCTGTTTCTTTCAACTGATAATGCGTTCCTAACAATCGCGCCACAATGATGACTGTTTTCTCTGCTGTTGGGGTGTTTGTTTTAACAGGCCAGTGGAGAGGCTGGCCACCATTATCCCCCCGATGGTCTTTACCGTCCCTGGGCATTGTTTATTCTTCAGCTAACAGAGCTGAACACACTGCCGAAATCTCCCCGAAAGATCCCCGCTCGCTGGTGTCTGTGACATGTGGGACAAATCTGGGGAGCGGAGTACGGGAGGCAGGCAGGCGTCTTTTTACATTTCAACGTAATGTAGAAATATCACCACGACAAAGCAGACGAAAGAATGACGAAATACATGTATCCTCGCGCGACGTTGTTTACTTGATACCAAGTCTCTTCGAAACGACAGTTCTGTGGCTGTACCAATTGACACAAATTTACCGCATTCAAATAGGATTCAAATTTACAAGTTGACTTACGCGAGGAGTAGCATTTGCCATTTTGTTGTGATAGATTATGATAGATAATGAAGATTTTGTAATGGTAGATAACCTTATGAAGCTCGAACCTCCAGCCTCATGGACGTCATGGTGGGTTCCCAAGGATATCGCAATATGTGTTTAATGCCAATGTGTTAGCGAGTTTTTGGGCTGCCTGTAAGTCACATTGCGGGTCCAGACAGAAGTTAGAAGGAGAGCGAGGCACTCCTAAAGAATATGTCAAGCGGCGCCCTTGCCTTGCGAGCGGTGGGGGTAACTCGAGCCCTCAATCGCGGACTGATTCGGTTCGGGCTTCAGGGCACCACCAGTGCCAGGGCATGTTCGGTTCGGGCTTCAGGGCACCACCAGTGCCAGGACATGTTCGGTTCGGGCTTCAGAGCACCACCAGTGCCAGGACATGTTCGGTTCGGGCTTCAGAGCACCACCAGTGCCAGGGCATGTTCGGTTCGGGCTTCAGAGCACCACCAGTGCCAGGACATGTTCGGTTCGGGCTTCAGAGCACCACTAGTGCCAGGACATGTTCGGTTCGGGCTTCAGAGCACCACCAGTGCCAGGACATGTTCGGTTCGGGCTTCAGAGCACCACTAGTGCCAGGACATGTTCGGTTCGGGCTTCAGAGCACCACCAGTGCCAGGGCATGTTCGGTTCGGGCTTCAGAGCACCACCAGTGCCAGGGCATGTTCGGTTCGGGCTTCAGAGCACCACCAGTGCCAGGGCATGTTCGGTTCGGGCTTCAGAGCACCACCAGTGCCAGGGCATGTTCGATTCTGCGTTCGCGAGATACGGTTAGGTCGTACAACACCTCAGACTGTACGCAACTGGCTGATTTGCTTTGCTTTGACGTTTGCTGTCTTCTCGTGTGTGAAATATACTCTCGATTTGACGGCCAGCATACCCACCTGAGTTGGATAATGTCTCATAACACCTGAAGGAGATAATGTTTTATCTGTTGTGACAACGAGTGTAAGGATTTTCCTCTAGACAGCTTACACCCAAATCCCTTCCGTCGCTTAGTAGGTACAAACGTTAAACCCTACTTAGTTCTTATGACGCCGCGCTGCGGTCAGACCTTGGTCAGGAGATCTCCTTTGGATGTTCGTCAGCCACCGTCTGCTTGTGCGGTTACACTGCGCGCTTTTTGCGCGCGCGGTAACCCTTATCAACGATGTCTTCAGAGGCCTGTAGACGGTGACGCAGGATCCGGGGAAGGGAGGAGGGGGTGGGGTGGGCGAGGGGGGGGGGGCAGGGGCTGAGCCCCAATTATTGTGAAAACTTGCCCCTGACCGTACGTGTATCAACTGGAAAGAAATACTTCAATGGCTATCGGACGCCAGACTTCGCAGCCCGACCAGTGCCATGCCGTTGTCTGTAGAACTCACTTGTGGCGCGGGCGCAGAATCGGCCGGCTAGCTGGGTGATTACAACTACAGTTGTGATTGTGGGGTCCGCGGAAAGGCCAGCACAGGCGCTGTCCTCGTCTGGGCTGCTTGGCTTGTGGCTGCGGGAGTTTTAAGAGATCGTGTTGTTCCTGAGTCTTGAATATAATTTTCAGCCAATGTTGACAGATAACATGAATTTTGCTGATGTGTTTACGCCCTTCCTTAAGTGAGGACACAGCGAATTTTACACCACACGACACCTCGCATTGTGACTGAAATCAATGCAGAAAACTCTAATAAATGTCACAAAATGGATGCAGTGACATTTCCATGGCATATTTTGTTTGTGGCTCGCACTCATTTGGGTCGTAAGTCAGTGTTTCTGATTACAGTCAACGTTCCCTGTACGAAAAAAAATACTGACGCTGAAGACACCGGGCAAATGAAAAGCAGAACAAGCCCCTGCGTCGATCAAAGATGAAACCACCCTCAGAGGCTACATATACCTAGCTTCGTTTATATGCACTGTTGGCGGCAACTGCATCCTTATTTTATTGCTGCCGTGCATTCTCATGAGTTATTCTACTGAAAATAGTCGGCCAGCAATAAATTAAGACTTCTGGTTAAACGTAGATATGAAACAAACATCCGATTATATTAGAAGTATACTGTCTTC